TTTATTTTTTTATGTTTTGAAGTTGTGATGACCACACCGAAGCAAATTGTGGGATCGACAAAACCATGTACGCGAGCTAAAGTCAAGCCCATTAATGAAATTGCCAATGACAAGCTCGAACATTGCGAAATGCCCCATTATTGAAAATGATGTCTCAATGCAGAGCGAGGAAGAGAGGTGCATGAAGCAGTCCGTGAAAGCGAGGCAGGCACGCTCGGTCCCGCACTCCATGTACCTCGAGGTGTCGCATGCCATCGAATCCGCCCCTCCGCCGATTCACCAAAGGCAAGAGTACCACCCCTCAACTCCGCCGCTATCTGGCATCACTTGTTGTCACTGCTACCCTCTCCGCCATGGCCGACCCGACCCCCTCTAAGTCTCGGCTTCGACACCTAGACTTCCCCAACCCCGTGACCGCCTCCCTGGCCTTGCCGCCCCCACCTCCTCCGCCGTTCAAGAATTTTTCTTTCCCTGTGTTTTCCTCTTTTTTTTTTTTTTTAAGAAATTGATGTCATACTTCTTTTAACTTTGCAACCGATCAACGGATCAACTCCAACACCATGAACTATACAGCCAGGCAAAGAATATAAAACAACTATTCAAACAACTAAAATTAAACTCTCAGCATGGAAGTGATCACCAACAGAGTGGCCATTGGAGTGCCCAATTATAAAGCATCTCCAGTTGCATTACATCCTCTTGGACCTTGGAAATCCAAGCAAACAGCCAGAAGGGTTCTTCTGGTCGAACGACCTCGACCCGAGCAATTCAGGCTTTGAGCTCGAAGCGGTGAGGTTTGGCAGGTGAGGGTAGAGGCGCACATGAGTAGCAATGAGAGAGGGGGACAGAAGTATGGAGATGCAGAGGAATTGATGAGAGGTAGAGAAGGTGGGGAGTGGGATCCACGATTTGGTGATTTGGGTGATTTTCGTCCTTTAATTTTTTTAGGGTTGAACGGAGCCATTTTGGGGATGGATTCATCGCAGCCCTTTTTGAAAACAATAAGTTAAAGGTACGGGTTAATATCACGGAAAACTTTAAAGTGGTATATAAGTGATAGATTTACCTCAAATTAGTACATTTATGATAAATTTACCCTTTATTAGTTTTTATTAAATTTTATCGTCAAATTGTCAAGATAAATGACAAGTAGAAGTTGACGGGTGTAGAGGGTTTTACCTCTCTTTGTCATATATGTATTAGTTTGTGATTTTTCGTAGTACTAATCCAATTTAACGGAAATTAACGAAGGGTAAATTTATCATAAATGTGCCATTTTGAGGTTTTTTATAGTCAAAAAAATTAATTTGGGAGTAAATTTATCATAAGTGTACTAGTTTGGGGTTTTTTATGGTCAGAAAATTAGTTTAGTAAATTTGTCACAAATGTATCAGTTTAGGGTTTTTCATGATATTAACCCTAAAGATATTGTTGGGCAAAAACATATTTTTGTTTATGCTTTCGAAAAACATTTATTTCGAAAATGCGAAGGAGCCTTACAACGCCAACAACAACCTACTTGCTTTATGTGGTGATAATCCTAAAAAGTTATCTGAAACTAAAACGTTTATTAGTTCAACCACCCCTGTAATTTGATTTTTTTTTCCACAAATAAAATATTTGAACGATATCTAGACTTTGACAGGCTTTTCTCACTTTTGCTAATTCGAAAATATCAATAAAATAAGAGGTCGTCTGGCTATGTTTACTTGGGTTAATTCCAAAAAAAAGCACCAACTTTAGGTCGAGGGACAATTCTGGCCCGAGCTTTTTTTTGTTCCATAAAAAAACATCAACTTTAGGTCGAAAGACAATTCTGGCCCGAACTTTTTTTTGTCCCATAAAAAAGCACCAACTTTAGGTCGAGGGACAATTCTGGCCCGAACTTTTTTTTGTCTCGTAAAAAAGCACAAACTTTCATTTAAATACCAAATTTGGCCCCCCATTGACTTTCTGTATGAAGTTACCCTTGTTTGAGAAAAAAAGTTATGGTGGTGAGCCTGGCGAATCTCTTCCATGGCGTCTGTCGACGGGCGGTGGTCTACAGCTTTAGATTACGACAAAACGACGAAGTTTGGCTAGAAAGATTCAATCTGGAGATATTTTTTACTTGCCGATGAAGTGAAGGAGACGAACAGTTTTACCGTTATTCTTCAAGCTGTGGTTCAAAGAATAAGACAATGAATAATGCTTTAAATCCAGTCAGCAAGTCACGTGGATTTATTACTAATGTGGAATAGTCTAGTTGGAAAATCAATTGTTTTAAGTCAATAAGGGCCAGATTTGGGATTTAAGTGAAAGTTGGTGCTTTTTTACGAGACAAAAAAAAGTTTGGGCCAGAATTGTCTCTCGATCTAAAGTTGGTGTTTTTTTACGGGACAAAAAAAGTTGGGGTCATAATTGTCCCTTGACTTAAAGTTGATGCTTTTTTATGGAACAAAAAAAAGTTCGGGCCAAAATTGTCCCTTGACCTAAAGTTGGTGTTTTTTTTTGGAATTAAGCCATGTTTACTTAAACTGTCTTGTTTTGACCAAGAAACATTCTTTTACATGAAAATACTACTATTCTTATTGCTATCAATAAAATAAAGATATTATACCATAAGTACTATTATTTACGATTGAAAATTATCATGGAGCAACAAAATATAAGCAGTAGAACTAGTAGTTAGATATGACATATGTTATTTAATTAAAATAAAGTAAAATAATAATTTATTATTATGCATAACCAAACACTGTTTTCAAATGCAAAAACATTTAGATAAATAAAAAAAACAAGTTAAATGTATCTATGTATTATAAACAAGAATCAACAATATACTTAATTAAACAACTTCCTAATAAATGCAAAATGTTTGACCAAAAAAACATGCAAAATGAAAACTATACTGATTTTGAGGTGCTATAACTAAGTTATAAATAAGTTATAGCACGTCATAATTTTGAGGGGAATTGGCGTGGAAGACTATAATGACGACGTAATGGTCTACTTCTCGAGCTAAAAATCCTTTTTTTTTCATTTTCTTTGGGCTACTCATTTGTTTTTTGCACTTCAATTATCTAATTTAGCTGATCTCAAAATTAATTAGGGCAATATGATATCCTTTCGTTTCCATTTCGCCACAAATTTGGTGGGGAGTGAGTCATTATCTCACCGGATCTCCATGATTTGCCAACATTGATGGGGGAGGCAGTCCTTCAACGACATTACTCTCTACAGCTAAGAACAAAGTCTAACCATTAAATTCGGACAACTAGACGTGCTTCATAAAATCATACATTGAAATCGACAGGAGGGGACGAATATCAAACTCCCTTTTTGAGGCATCAGCGGCGCAAATGCCGACAAACTATTGATGTCAAATGAAAGTTTCCTTTGTTATTTTTTCAAGTGGGATTGAAATGGTGGTGAAATTGACAGAACTCTTTATTTTTTTGGGTTACAAATGCAATAAATTTCTCAACTACCAGGCACATGGAAGTGGGTCAGCTTAGGACGAACCTGCTTCCGTACATTTTCAATGGGGAAAAACAGCAATTTAAAGGTTTCTTTGTTTTTTTTTTTTGTTGGCCCAAGTAGTAATTTGTGTTTGAATTAGATTAGTGGAGACAGTTTCTAATCTGGATGCATTGGTGGCCATGTGCGCCACTAGAAAAGTTTTTAATGAGCAAAAGTTTCAATCATCATGGGTTTTTAGTCCTTGATTTCACTAGGTACATCCTAAATGTTTATTATGAAGGCTTGTATGCTAAAAGGAAATGATAGTATGTATTATACATAGGGAGATATTCTTAACCTAGGGGTTTGTTACTTTATCTTTTTTCAGATTCAGAACTTGCGACCGTCGCCATTTGGAGTTCCGCTCGATGCGAACACCCGAACCTTTCAAAATATTTGGATATTGACATGCAAAATCATATCTGTCTTTCCATAATTTTTTAAGACATACATAAATTTCAAAATATTGGAGTTGAAAACAATAAGTGAGAATTAGAAGTTGTATTTCTAGCGTATTTGTTATTAAATTTTAACATATGATTATCTTTTACAAAAGTTGAAACTGTTAGAAAACAGCATGGAACATATCTTATATATTAAATACTTTGTTTCATACAAAGACCGGTAGAAATCACTAAAAGACCTTGAGCTTGCGAAACAAATACTTGCGATCGAATGAATTTTTTGGTGAAGCTCAAGGGAAGCATGCACAAGGGTGAAGTGGATATGAAGAACCAAACTCTGAGAATTTTTATATTGGTGTCAAATTAGAAAGATTGTTGCACACTCAACTTTAGAATGACACTAGAGTTAGAACTGAAGTAGTTCCATTCCTCACAATCATCTTTTTAAGTCATATGGATCTGCTTCCTCTGTACCTCTTGTGTTTCTAGCAATTCATTCAACCACATGTCAAGCTTTCACCATCCTACTAACCTTCACATAATATATGATGTTTCAAGACCTACAATATAAGTTTTTGTTCTTTAGTTGTCGAAAATTTTAAGAAAGAGATTGGCCTATATATGGAACCAAAAAATTATCATTCTTTTTTCTATCATTCTTTTTTTTCTTTTAGTTGCTTCACTTGATGTACTCGGAAACAGCAACCCAGCTAGCCACATTATTTTTCTATCATTCTTTTTTCTTTTTTTTTTTGTTACAAATGGGAAGAAAATTTCTAATTTCCCAGCTAGATGCATTGGACATATGCATGTATGATTGGTCCACAGAACTAGCTATCCACGTGGAAAAGAAATGGGTGTGTCGGAGAGGTGTCCCGTAGATTTTCTAGCTTGAGGGTTTTCTTTTGCTGCGAAAACCAAAGTGGCAAAGCCCTAAAATCAAGAATGCCCCAAAGACGCGTGAATATTATTGTTGAGCCAATCGTTACATTAAATTTGGTGCACAGTTAGTTGTTGTGAACATTCAATGCTATATCGAAACATACGTTGTATATAAAGCCTTCGTAACATGAGGCTCTCACTCATCAGTGTGCGTGTTCAGTCATCCAAAAAAGATATTAGAAAAAGATGGTGAAGGCCTTTGCTTTGCTATCTCTGCTTTGTCTACATGTTGTTGTGGTCAGTGTGAGTGCAAAACATGCTGTGAGTGCTGGTGAGGATGATAAGAAGACGTTTGTAGGTGGTGGCAAGGGAGGAGGGTTCGGGGGAGGAGGTGGGGCTGGCGGTGGCTTTGGAGGTGGGTTCGGCGGAGGTGGTGGAGCCGGCGGTGGAGCAGGCGGAGGAGGTGGGTTTGGAGGTGGTGGTGGTGGTGGTGCTGGCGGTGGAGCTGGTGCAGGTGCCGGCGGTGGGGGCGGTGGGTTTGGCGGCGGCGGTGGTGCTGGCGGTGGAGCCGGTGGAGGTGCCGGGGGTGGGGGTGGCTTAGGTGGTGGTCATGGTGCTGGTGGTGGAGTAGGCGGTGGGTTTGGTAAGGGTGGTGGTGTAGGCGGCGGCATTGGTAAAGGTGGTGGTATTGGTGGAGGAATTGGTAAAGGAGGCGGCCTCGGTGGTGGCATTGGAAAAGGAGGTGGAGTTGGTGGAGGCATTGGCAAGGGTGGAGGTGTCGGCGGCGGTGTTGGAGGTGGGTTCGGCAAGGGTGGTGGAGCTGGTGGTGGATTTGGTAAGGGTGGCGGGATTGGCGGTGGGATAGGAAAAGGAGGCGGAGTTGGTGGAGGCATTGGCAAGGGTGGCGGTTTTGGCGGTGGTGCGGGAGGAGGATTTGGCAAGGGTGGTGGAGTTGGCGGCGGCTTTGGTGGCGGCATCGGAAAAGGAGGCGGAGTTGGTGGAGGCATTGGCAAGGGTGGTGGAATTGGAGGAGGAGTGGGTGGTGGGTTTGGAAAAGGAGGGGGAGTTGGAGGTGGCATTGGGAAAGGCGGCGGGATCGGCGGTGGGATCGGAAAGGGCGGAGGAGTTGGTGGTGGTGTAGGAGGAGGTTTTGGAAAAGGCGGTGGTATTGGTGGAGGTGTCGGAGGAGGAATTGGAAAAGGTGGCGGAGTCGGAGGAGGCGCTGGTGGCGGTTTTGGCAAGGGCGGCGGAGTTGGGGGCGGTGCCGGAGGAGGATATGGCAAAGGTGGAGGAGTAGGCGGAGGATTCGGTAAGGGTGGTGGCGTTGGTGGAGGAATCGGAGGTGGCGCTGGTGGAGGCTTCGGGAAAGGCGGCGGCTTTGGTGGTGGGATCGGAAAGGGCGGCGGATTCGGGGGCGGAGTTGGAGGAGGCTCGGGTGGTGGGATCGGAGGCGGCGCTGGTGGAGGCTTCGGGAAAGGTGGTGGCTTCGGCGGTGGGATCGGGAAGGGTGGCGGATTCGGGGGAGGAGCCGGGGGAGGCTCGGGTGGTGGAATCGGCGGGGGATTCGGCAAGGGGGGAGGAATAGGAGGAGGCTCCGGAGGCGGCTTCGGTGGAGGTGCAGGAGGAGGAGGAGGAGGCGGCGGGGGTGGTGGAATTGGACACCACTGAAACTCTTCACGTTGCATGCATGCATGCATGCGATGCGACTCATGGAAAGGAATTGGGAAAGAGTACCGAGTAATAGAGCATATGGCCGAATAATTCAGTGTTTATCATGTCACTTTAATTTCGACTTTTACATTAGTCCAATGTATCGTTGTCGTTCGATGTTGGGTTGGGATTGGTGTGTCGGCCCAATTCCTATAACAAAAGGGCAGAAAAAAATATAGATGTATTACTAGCAAATTTCCCTTGTTTTTATGTCACCAATTTGGCAATTTCTAATAGAGAAATTTGTTCTTAACGTGAGCAATACGCTGTGCATGCTCACCTCATTGTTCACATTTTTTTTCACTCTAATTTCAGAAAAAAGAAAAAATTATAACGATCGACAAAATAAAAACTCATCTGAACCCAAATTTTGTCCCATCACTGTAGAATATACAGAGAAACAAAAGCAAAAAAGCAAAGAAGAAAAATTAATAAGCAAATCTCCTCCATCGTGTCATGGATGTGAATAGCAATTTTAACAATACAACACGATGTGCCGCTCTCTTTCTCTCCCATGCATGCGCCACTTTTTTCCCACTTAATGAGGTAAGACCAAGATCATATAAATCGTGACATGATTTCCACCTTTTTGCCAAGTACATACTACTGATAAGAGAGACATGCAAATTGCACATTCATCTCCTCTTGGCCATCCGGAACGATTTCTTGAGGAAATGATTCGCCGCCCTATCGTTCCTGTGGCACAGCACCCTCAAGATGGTGTTCGGGTCCGACCGGTGCCACCTCCTCGTCGTGGTCGGCATCGGCAGCTTCTGCCCCGCGCCCATCACCCCGATCCCGCTCGTCTCGCACGTCAGGATGCTGAAGTCCTCGATGAGCTGCTCCGTCGGCTGCCCGAGCAGCGCCACCACGCCCTCGACGACCTCGGCCTCGCGGTCGACGACGTCCTCGGCGATGAGCCCCTCGCCGCAGGAGGCGAAGACCCGCTTCAGGCTCGCCAGGTCGTCCTCGATCATCTTGTGGTCCCCTCGGTAGAAGACCCGCGAGTTGCCGCCCGCGAGGAGCACCATGAGGTAGGCCTCGAGGGCGGCCTTCATGATCTCCTTGACCGCGAGCGGCTGAGCACAGTCCGTGAGGATCGCGCACAGTAGAGTCAGGTTCTGCTTGAGGATCCTCAAGACGGGCCTCACGCGGGCATTGGCGACGTCGCCGGCGTAAAGATTCTCGTAGAAGACGCTGTTCGAGTCGAGGAATACGAGGCGGTACGCGGCGACCTCGGAGACGTGTTGGCAGGCCGCGTGGATCGACGTCCGGGCGATGTCGAAGTAGGACGAGGTCTTGCCCTGCTGCCGCCGGTTCGTGAAGCGGTTCCGGGACGGGGAGACCCGGGGCGAGAGGGTGAGGGTCTTGTTGAGGGAGTGGAGGTGGGTGAGGAGGTAGTGCAAGCTGTTGAGGCGGATGTAGAGGCGCTGCGTGCCGCGGCTCGTCGACGGCCGCGGGTTGTGGCCGTCGTTGGCCCCGACCGTATGTCCATCTTCCGCTCCTACCCGGCAAGGAGTGGCCTTCCTCCAAATCTTGACAAGTTGGGAGGCACTGTGACATCTTGTTAGAGGAGGGAGCGAGGGAATGTAACCCTGCTTTGATCCTGTCACCAATTCTCACATTAGGTAAAACAATAATCAAACTGATGAAAGATTTAAGGAAATTGCTGCAAGTAACTCAGAGATTCCCAAGTAAGAAAAGCAGCCTGGTTGGTATGGAATGTGAGTTAGGACTGGAGTGATCTTGAAGGATGAGGCTCAAATGAATCTGGTGGATGGAGGAGTGTAGACATCATGAATTGAGTTTTACCACATGATGCAGCAAATGAAATGTAGTCTTGAAACAGGTGGCCTAGGCCGTCGGCGAGATCTTGAATCAAATCCTCGGTGATTCCGATCGGGATGTCGAAGAACTCGTCCACGGTTTCCTTTATCAGCTTCATCAGCTCCACCGCGGATTGCGCGTACGGCTCCGTCTTCGACTTTGGATTCCATGTCTTGTTTGCACATTCACAACCATCACCGTTTCAGTACACGCTCAAAGTGAGTACATCGATTCGCCGACGATCTACGGGGACTTACCTCGGTTTCTTTGGCTTGACGGAGGCATTCTTTTCCTTTCTTGAGCTTCTCGTCGATCCATTGCTTCAAAAGCTTCAGGATGATGGTATCGACCTCGTACGGCGCCATTTCTCGGACGAGGGACTTGCCGCCGTCTTCGCACTCGGTGGAGTCTTCGACCACCATCTGCACCAGGAAGTTCTCTAGCTTCCCAGCTCTCTGCAGCACGCTCACGGTTTCGCTGCTGAGCTTCGGCGTGCTGGTCAGGTACCGCTTCAGCATGGCCCCGTAGCAATTGTGCAGCACCACCGCCGCGACCCCCGCCGCGAACGGATGCCATTTCTTCATGATGGGGCTGAAGTGTTCCCTCTCTCTCAAGGCCAGATCCTCCGTCTCTTTCGCCAGGCTGAGAAGAGCTTCGGTCGCCTCTTCTTTCGAATCCATCGCGTGATTGAAATGGCCGCTTTGAATCATCTGATTACAGATACGTCAAAATGAAATACTGAATCGATGATTGGAATTTAGGGAACATCAAGTCTAATAGATGATAAGCTCAGCCTCAAACACAAACCTTTGTGAATTCATTCCTCAAGGAGGACCTTATGTAGTCGTCCACGCGATCGCCGGTAGAGTCCAGGACCGAGTCCTTGTTCCCGTGGCCTGCCGTGACCGGTAGCATGGCGTCCTCGCTGCTAATGGTCGAGGCCGTCAACGCCATAGGGAGGATGTTCTCGATCAATCCCACCATCCCCCTCGAAAAGTAGTCCTGGTAGTGATGCAACCGTTTCTCCGACCACTCTCGCATCGATGACAACACCGACGACAAGATCCTGACGAATATGGCGTCTCGATCCGGCTTCTTGGCATCTTTCGATACTTCCACGAGCATGGCGTGCGAGGCGCAGAGGAGGTCCGGCTCCATCTCCGACGTCGCCACATATTGTTGGAAAAGCACCCAAGTGAAGCACACATTGTGGATAGGCCTGTTGATGCCCAATGTGGACCATGTCTTCTTCATGAGCTCAAGAAGTTCATCGACCTCGTCCAGGACCAACGTCTCGTCCCTCACGTCGAAGATCGATTGCATGAGAGTGATGTATAGATGGACGTTGAGCGGGAACCCGTCGGCCCAGTGGCAGATGTCGGTCGGAGTCCCGCTCGCGCTCCGCCAAGACAAAGAGACAACGGAATTGCACAGGGTCCTCATGACGTCCGTGTTCTTCCCGAAGTCGATGGGCTTCGTGTCGCCCGACAGGACGATGTCCCGGAGGCGCGCGGCGAAAGTGTTCGACTTCTCGAGCGGGATAGAGGGGTGGAGGAGGAGCCCGGCCTCGAGGACCTTGAGCTGGCGCTTCTGCCAAAGGTGGTACTCGTGCGAGTCGCTGAACTCGGACGGCTTGATGTGCCGGAGAAGCTCCAACGGAAGGATTATGGTCTCTGCTCGTCTTCCCATCTATGACGAGAACAAGGCAATACACTAAGACATTGAATCGAAATCGGTGAACATTCATCTGATTTGAAGATACAAGATTTAGATGACACTACTTTGATATTGGTACATCATCTGATTTTAAGGGCAACATTTAACCATCAAATCATGCATATATAAATCCTAATGTATCGTGCAAGATAAGGGTCAAATTAGAGTAGTATAACGATTCACGTACTTGGCCTACAAGAGTCCTCATAAGCGTTTTCCTGAGCCTGTTATCACTCTGCTCCGTCACCCTCATCTGTTGCCTCATGATCTCGGCCGACGTGAGCGGCCGCCTCGCCCTCGAAGGCGGAACTGTGTGCAACAACCCGGGGCTCAACAGCTTGGTCCCCATGCTGTGCCGGTTCGGTGAAGATGGCGCGGACATCCCGCCGACGTTGGCCCAACCGGATACCATCCTCTTCGACTGCGACCGCTTGATCATCTTCAACCCTAGGGCCCTCTTCACCCTACTATTCGGCGCCATCCCCACCCCATTGGCCCTGCCCTGGGCTCCGGCCCCCGACGAACCTCCCTCCGCATTGTCGGACGCATGCGACGACGACGAGTAATAAGCTATGGCGGTGCGGCCTCCGAATCCGGGCGAGGAACGGCAAGAGGTGAAGAAGATCTCATAGGCGGTCTCGCGGATGTCGTCGTGGTCCAGGCCGTCGAGCTTCCCGAAGGGCCACTCGAGGTCCGTGGCCGCAGAGAAGGACTCTCGGCAGGCGGCGTGTGCCATATGGCGACGGCGTGATCAGAGATCCGGCGGGAGAGAGCGATAGAATTTGGAACGCATGTTCTTCAAGAGAGGGAGAGGGACGGTTAGAGAGGCACCTGATTTGAGCTTTGTTTTTTTGGTTATGACAACGTTTGAAGGGGGGGGGTAGAGAGAGACAGAGAGAGACAGAGATTGGGCGTCGGATGGTTTTTGCCAACTTGTGATGTTGCATGGAGAGCGAGAAAGAAGGGTGGCAAATGGGACATGGGGAGCTTATTTCTCCAGCTGAAACAGCTGTAATTCAGATGAAAATCATGTCGTGGCCAATCAGGTATGCATAAATAGAACAAATTCCAGACGGATAAACGAATTGAGCCTTGACGAAAACACTCGGGTCAACATCCTGGAGTTGAACAAACAATTTGACTGTGCTGGCCTTCTCAGTTGTTAAAGTTCCCATGCTCAAAACTCTCCAGGAAGAGATGGATAGGAGAACGGCGGCAGCCGACATCGAACAACTAGGTCACTTCTTTTTCCGTTCACTAATTTTACCGATGTCGTAATCTTGAATCCTAATCCTACCCGAATCCGTTGCTGTCATGTGACTCGATTTAATCCGGAACCGATGAAAAATTTGAGAAGGGGAAGAGAACGATGGACAAGAGCTATCTAAGATTAGCTTTGATTATGCACCTAATTGACTTTTATAGTGCAAACGTAGATTTTCTACCTTCATTTCGATTTCTACCCCATCAAAACATCGATGAATGTTGCTTTTTTGCGCACCCAAAAATTTACTCAACCGGGCGGAAAAGTATTCCGACATGTCAAGATAACCACCGGACTCTAGATAGGATGATACACCCATTTATCAAACTCATTTCCCAAATCCCCCACGCGGCTAAAATTCGGGACCGTATGATCTTTAGCCCTACTTGCCTTCGTTCAATCTAGTTACATATAAGAGAAAAGACAATCGAATACAGATTTTGGTAATTTGGTCGCATAAACTCGAGGTTCCAATCAGATGCATAACGCGCGCATAACTTCCACCATACATTGAAGTTAAAATCAGAACACGAATTTTTTTATGCAATGACAACACTGGCTCTCAGCAACTGACACTTTAGATCAATCAACGGCCCTAGGCCAAAGGACTGGGACAAGAGGATCACTGCAGGTGGCAAGTAAGACCGACATTTACGAGAGAAACAGCAACGATTGTGAATGTGGCTGGCTTGATGAGGCGACGACCTGCAAAAAGAAGCTGCAACGGGAACTGATCGGTGCCAGTTCAATCCTCAAATGTAGGAAGACTTACACTTAACTACCAACAAGCAAAGCTAGATTCAATCATCTAAGCAAATGCTACTGATGTTTGACAACAGTCCAAACTAACGGCATACGGCACCAGTAGTGGGACCTTAAGTTTGTGGAGAAAGATGGGAGAGACTTCATACTCATATGATTCGAGGATATACTGATTCTCCACTGGACGGTAGAATTCTTGTTTAGTCAATGAAAAGTTTATCGATTCCTTGCATGCGGAGAATTCTGCTTGCCCAATCAAAGATGATATTTTTCAAAGTTCAAATGCAAAGTTGGTGGGAATAATAACATGCAGGTATCGTAATTAAATCATTACACCACATTAGCGATGCAATGGACACAAAAGACTCTGCCATGAGCAGCTACACTGTTGAATGAAAAGAGAAGGCAGCAGCAGTACAAATATCTCTTCAAATGGCCTCAATGTCAAGCACCAGCCTTAGTGAGGAATAGTCATGCCCAGAAATAGGCGCGCCCAAATTATGTGGGTCCACACCAATCCTATGAGAAAAACTACTCAGCAATCTGTTGACCAACTCTATTTCTAGTCAAAAACAAAAAAGTATTCTACCTCAGAACATTTATTGTCAACAACAAAAGATTAGGGAAATTCACATTCAACAACCACTAAGTAGGTCAATTGGCGAAGCATAGGCTGAAGTATCTATCGCCATTAACAGTCTCTTAGTACCCTGACCACGGAAATACTAAATCTACAATTGACAAATTGTTAACAAAAAAAATCCTATCTCCAACCTATTAACTCATTAGTCTTCGTTTTGATATCAGATTCAATCATGTACAACTGTTAACACTAAATCAAAAGGCACAACATTATATTCATTGAATCCAAGAATCAAGAATTATTCAGATGCAATATAAATAGCTAACAGGACAACCAAATAAAGACTAACAACACCCAAACCTGCCATAATAATCATAATGGCAGTAGAATTCAATCATTTCGGTGGTTAAACTAATAAGATTGATAACCAAGGACTCACTTTCCCTAAGCAGAGACACACGAAAGAAACTCCATAATTGGACCTTTCAAATATCAAAAGATTTTCCGCTGAAAGTTCTGCCAAGTCAACGATAAGTATCATCCATCCACCTACACTTGCCTTGACCTATTATTACTTATATCTCCATCATTAGAAAGAACAAAAAAATTGTCCACAGAAATGGCTTGCTAATGTAGAATGTGCACAAATCCAACCTCGTTTGGACAAAAAACAAAATGGTTGAAGTCTACCACAGCTTCTAGTTTGGCAATCTGTCTTTTAAAAAGAAGTATCTCACTGCAAACTAACACCTCAAACTGATATAGGACTGCTCCTAAGCGACATGTATCACATACCACGGCCTACCTATTTTGTCAACTCACCACAAATCTCGACGAAGATCGGAGATCCATGACTTGAAATGCCAGGAATCTGCAAACACTGACAACAGTGACATAGCCTGTGAATCGGAACGGCCTCTCTCGAGTTAATGCATAATTTTGACAGAACAATTCTCCAAGTTCCTTCCCAAGCTTTTAACAACAAAAACCACAACAATGCCCATGGCCATGTGAAGAAACTTGAGTGCACTTTAAACCCGAGCATCTCCTCCTGTATAACACAAGGGAAAATACAGGGGGGAAATGATTATGCCATTTTCAAACTGTCAACTACGACTATCATTACCGCTACCCATTACCCAATCTGCAACTCAAGGCCCACAGCTCCAAAAACATTAAGCTGCACTACTCCTTTCTATTCCTACTTGGTAATATCGAATCAAGAAATAGCAGCTAACCTTCTCTAGAGCATTTGGTTCTTGATAGACGAGGGGAGGAGTCGGAAACAGCTAACAAAAGGATGACAATTAAGACTTGAAGATCACAAGCTCAAATATAGCGGCAATAACAACACTATAGCTGAAACACTAGATGATAAATAGATCCCAGATCATCAAGTAGACAAATATAAGCACGCCAATTTAAAAGCTACACTCAGCAAAATGCTTAATAAGAGGGCATCTAGTATGCCTCGAAATGTACTACTTATTACTGACTACCAAAACAGATACTGAAAACAGGGATTTAAGCAATCCAACCAGTCCCAAAGTATCGACATCCAACTTGAGCAATGCTTCATGAGGATGCACTCAGAACTGAGGTCAACAACAAATCATTGCTGCTGAGCTTGGCGGGTCTGTCCACCACCATAACCACCACCATAACCAACCTGCCCACCATGAGGACCGTTCGACTGAGAACCATAATTTCCAGAAGTTTGTGATGGGTCCGATCTCCATCCTGCATTGCCATACCCTGCATCACCATAACCACTTCCCATGTAGCTACCAGCGCTTGCCTGCATTTCTCCACCAGAACCACTGTTTGGAGTACTTCCAGAGCGCCCTCCAACAGCACCATACCCGCCCTGATTTCCATAAGATCCATCACTTCCACCATATCCAGCATACCCATAACCTTGATTGCCATATCCAGCTCCACCACTAGGAGAATGACCAGTAGGCGCTGAACCAGGACCACCACCAGTCGAACCACCACCAGCCCCTGCAGCACCCCATGGAGCAGCACCACCATACCCCATAGCTCCATATCCAGCGGGAGCTTGTGAGCCCCATGAGCTTCTAGGCCCACCCTGAGGACCACCTCCATAACCAGAAGTGGGTATGTTACCATAAGCTGCACCAGCAGGACCACCATATCCAGTGCTGCCAGCATAACTTCCATAACCACCATAACCCATGCCATTATTGGCAGGACCATAACCATAGCCAGGTGCACTGTATCCAGAAGAACCATAGGGCGGAAAACTACCTCCAGCATTCTGTGGCTGCATATACCTATTTGAATCCATTCGACCATCATATGCACTGCCTGAATTACCACTAGAACCACCATAACCTTGGTAACCACCACCACCTCCACCGCCCATACTACGGCCACCTCCACCAGGATTAGCATCTTTTGGAAGTGCCCGCTTTACTTCCACTTGCTTCCCACTCAAATCATGGAATGTCTTGTGCAAAACCCTATCTACAGCCTCTTCTGTGTCAAAAGATATAAACCCAAAACCCCGGGGTCGCTGAGTATTCTGATCATACATGATTACTACGTCAGTTACATGACCATAAGCCTCAAAATACTGACGAAAGCCATCTTCAGTCAAAGTGGGAGGCAAACCTCCCACAAAAATCTTCTTTGTTCTTATATTTCCACCAGCTCCACTGCCTCTATCAGGATTTTGGTTTCCAGATCTTGCATTTGTTTGCTGCTCCTCTCTTGACAAAGCCCTCTTAGCCTCAACCTACAAATCGACCGGATGAGAAAGAGAGAGAGTTCAAGAGCAAGCCAATTGTTCTATTTCAGCAAATATCAAGAGAGCATGTAATAATTAGATGAGCCCATAGAAAGTATGGCCTAACATTCTATTTTTTAAATATATAATTAAAGACTGAAAAAGAAAAATAGCAACAAAGATAAAGCATAGAGACACTTTATGACTCTGAAAACCAATATTTCACATTGAAGCTGGTTCATTGGCTTGGTTTCGGGTTGAAAATTCGTTCTGAGTCATCATGGGACCATATGATGGGATCCATCAAGTCATAAGGCATGTTTACAGCTAACCATAGCAATGCAACCAACCAGTTAGTCTACAAGTTCACCATCCATCATTTTATCATTGTTCACGACTCATGTGAAGCTATTTAGATGGAATCTTTTCTTCATCGTTACGTACTTTTTGTCCAAATTGATAATAGCCATAGAACTAGCTCATTGGGAAAAACTTAGTAGCAAGGGAAGCTGTAGCTAGTCTTTCCCAAGCGAGCACCACGGCTATTATGAATCCAAATAGTACATGAAAAGATAAATTCCACCTAAATAGATTAGTGTGAGCTTTGAAATCAATGGATAAAGAGAGGAGAGCAAACTTGTGTACCAACTAGTTGATGGCATTTCTCTAGCCAGGTGTAAATACCGCCCACGATTTAACCGATACACATCCCATCTACATGGCCTCATATAGGGGCACGGTGAAGTTTCAATCCAAAAAGGAAAAAGATTTGTTAGCCACCACAACTAGCGCACATCGTTCCAGCCTAGCAATCTCTTTGTTTCAACTGACAAAGACAATAAATTTGACTGCTAAGGAGGAAAATAAACTTCTTTGACGGAGAGAACGCCAGGATACCAAGCTGTCTGTTAATTACAGGCAGGATTGAAAAAAAAGAGTGGATCCAATAGCATTTAGAAGCTGCAATTGACTAAAGAAGTTCTCTCGCGAGAGGAGGACCTTCCAACTGAGCATGATATCTATTTGCTCACGTAACCAACTTTAAAAACACGCTTAAAGGTGCAAAGGCGAGAATAGTACATAGGAGACGAGACGATGAAGAAATGGGGCATCCTAAAATCATGATGTGGATATAAACAAATCTCGAAATCTTTCCAAACGGTAGTGCACGACGCCGATTTTCTATTAGAAGATTGGCCCCACGTGATGAAATCTTAGGCGCCCTAGGAACACCATGTCACTCTATATCCACCAGAGTGAAGCAGGATGAACGGAAGCTAGGGATAGACGAAAAGCTTGTACTTCATTTAGATATCATGTTCCTTCACTTTGGGTACAGAACAAAGGTATTAGACGTAACAGCTCTCTCTATTCCTTAAGGCAAAAGTAGCTAAGGATTGAACCCGAAACGGCGGCATCCCTAATCGGACCAGGCAAGCACCCAGTTATGCTTCCCCCTTACAAAACACACCATTTCTTTTAGGCATACCGATTCGACAAATACCGACAGCAGCAAGCACGAGCTGAACACCCGGAACCAACCAATAGAGAAAAGAGCAAAATCGACCCGGCCGGCAAGAGCACGTCAACAATCAAAAGCGAGGAAGGGCAGGTCACCCCCACGAAAACCCCCAATCAACCACCCCCACCACCGCGAGAGCACAAATCTAATCCCCGAAAAAAAAAAGGGAAACGAGAAACACAAACACGACGCGGGTCTCCATACCGTCCTGCCGTCGATGGTGTGCTTGTCCTGGAGGACCCTGTCGAGGACCGCGGGATCCGCGAAGACGACGAAGCCGAAGCCGCGGGGGCGGCCAGTGACCTTGTCCCGCATGACGACGGCCTGGAGGACGTCGCCGTACTGGCCGAAGTAGTCCTTGAGCCTGTCCTCGTTGGTCTCCCACGAAATCCCCCCGATGAACAGCTTCCCCTGATCCGAATCCATCTCGACACCCTCACCCTCTTCCCCACGCCAGCAGCAGCAGCAGCAGCAGCAACCGAAAAAATCCCCAAACCCTAACCCTAACCCTCTCTACCTCTCTCCTCTCTCTCTCTCTCTCTCTCTCTCTCTCTCTAGGAGGAGCAGCAGCAGCAGCAGCAAGTGCTGGGCTTTCTAGGGTTTCGGGCAAAAGGGGCTCCGAGAGGATTGCGGAGGAGGCCGACTCAGGTCTGTAGAGAGAGAAAGAGGGAAGGAAGGGAGGAGGAGGAGGAGGAGGAGGAGGAGAGGGTTTTGGTTGGGTGGGTGAGGGAGTACGGTGGAAATCGAAAGAGTGTTCGATTTGGACGGTCGGGATTCGCCGGGGCACGGGGGGTAGCGAACGGGTGGGATTCGATCTGGGGGGGGGGGGGGGCGGGGGGTGTTTCTTTCCGGTGGGATGATGCTCAGCCGCCGCCGCCGCCGCCGCCGCCGCCGCTCTGATTGAGCAGCTCTCTCGCGAAGGTAGAAAATTCAGCTCGGAATTTATTGTTATATATATAAAAATACATATATATATATGTTCCGCGCTGAAAAATTCAAGGATAATTACGCCGATAGTCCTTTCAACGTAGTCCCCAGACTTTTTGGTACGTGTTCGGGTTAGTCCCTCAACTATATCAAAATATTTAATGCCATCCTTCTATTAATTCGGGTTCAGAGACTACGTTGAACATTCTTCGTGTAGTCCATAGGCTGGATTGAACATATATCGAAAGTTCAAGAACCACATCGAGCAAATTGAAAGTTCACGAATGGCATTGCGCATTAGGCTGAAGTTTAGGGATCATATTGAACAAATAAAAGGTTCATGGATCACATTGCATAATAAGCTAAAGTTCGAAGACCATTTGTATCATTTTCCCAAAAATCTAAGGATGAAATATTTTTGAAAATCGCGGCAATAATATGTAAATCGGGAGATCCAATTCCAATTTGTTCACTGAAATCAAATCGTGTTTTCATATGATTGCACCTAGCACCAAATTAAGGTCGAAAATAGGTAAATAAAAAAATAAATAAATGATCGGACTTATTTGGATCGGATATTGTCGGAAAAGAAAAAAAAATGATTGTTTACGGTAAGATATTCCGACAAAATTGAAACCCAAGAATATACGAAAATGAGAAATAGGGAAATGGAATTAATCGAATCCTTCGACTTAAGGCACGAAAAACATATATTAGAGAATGTTTTATTTTGATTCTCGATTTAATTTCTAACACGATCGACATGGTATAGTTAAATGAACGTACAAAAATAAGTCCCTCTCTAAGTTGAATGGAGACATAAGGTTCGGTGCAATCAAAGTTCATGAAAAAAAAAAGGGTTATTTTTATAAAATGCCGGATAATATATGTGGTCATTTTAAAATTCTGTATATGGTTATTTGATCAATATTAGCTTACAAGAGGCAGAGCAGCTGACTGTAAACCCCCGAATACTCCAAAAAATACAAACGTCGATCCATACTCTTAAAAATTAATTTGGAGTAGAATCAAACTTTTTTTCGAACATAGGGAAACTTACTTAAATTTCAAAATAAGAGACTCGGCTGCCGACCGCTCTCTAAGTTGTAAAGTTAATACCATTGAAAATTAAATTAAGAATGAAAGGAAAACAAATTTTCGGTAAATAGATGACTTGATTGCACCGAATAAAAGCTTTGGGGAACAAATTCGCACGGAAGCTGAAACTTAGAGGACTTATGCACTTAAAATTTCGCCAGAAAAACAGCTCGTGCCGTGAGGTATTGGGTTAAGTCCAGCGACGAGCGCAACCCTATAAAAATGTGTGATCATTCTTATACTTAGAGGACTGTGTTACGTGCCGCCATAGCCGGTGCTGCTGTGGACAATTTTTAATAATATTTTAATATAATTTTATAATTATTTATTTATTTTCCCTTTTTTTTTCCTTTCTTTCTCTTTCTTTTTTTTTTTTCCTTCCCTTCTTCCTTTGGCTAGTTGCCGGGCCTCGGCAACTGGTCAGAGGCAAGGGCTGGGGAGTCTCGTCGGCCTCTGGCAAAGCTCACCCCTGCCGGCCAATGGCAAGGGCGAGCCTCGCTCAGAGACGACGAGGTCGGCCTCGAACTCTCCAAATTGGCAACCGGGCTCGCCGCCCTCACCATCGATCGACGCCACCACTCTCTCGATCGACCGCATCATCGACGTCCTCCACGACTTGAGCCCCCCGCCTCTGTTCACGTGAATCTTCTTGGTCCGGTCTCTCTCTCCCCTCTACATCTTCTCAACTGAGGACAATGACGTCTAGCTTGATGCCATGTCGGAGCACAACCCCCACATCCGGCATCGTGCTTGACGCCACATCTTGCACACCTTGATCCATCCGTCTAGCTTGCCAAATCCAACGTCGAGCACGACGCAGGTACGATGTCACTCCGTTTCGAATCTCATTGTCGCCTCACTCTCATCCCGCCACCGCGCGGTCGAGGTGCTTGCATGGGCACGCCAACCCGCTGTGCCGCCGCTTAAACCCGATTCGACCAAGTCGCCGGAAGTGCGAAACCGGCAAAGTCTAGACGAGTCATTTCCTTCCGGATCCATCAACCTTCACGTATCTCCCTTTTAGTGAATTATCAAGTACGTTACCTATACCATTCCAAAGGGGAGGATGGCCCTTTCTGACAGTATAATGGTCCTGTCAAAGACAGTTTGATAAACCTAGGGGTATTGATACCGGAAGAAAGAACAAAAGCATGTTTTCTAATGAGACCAAATATATGTCCTCCTGATCCAAAGAACGACAATGATGGATAGAGAGACAGAGACCTAGCAACTAATGTGGAGTACCCGGTTTAGCCCCGGATACTCGAGCGACATTATTGCCGGCATTCCGACTTCAACGCATGCGATCCGTTGAATCATGTGGACATCGCGTCGGTGGGGCATGCCCGATCCAATGGATCGTATGCACTTGGCCTATATGCAACGGACGCAACTAATAATTTTCCGGATTCACAGCTATGTGCACTCTCTCTCTCTCTCCTAAAAAAAAAAAAATTAATGAATAGCTAAATTATTTGTGAAACTCTCCTGAATCCTGCTTCTTTGAATAGTTCAGAAATGTGAGTGAACCAGAGCTTTTTGTACTAGTCAACGATGAAAAAGAAAAAAGAAGTGAGATCAGCACTTTGTTTTTGCTAGTCATAAGGCATAAGACTTTTAACCACAATGGAATAATCACTAAAGTGAGCCCAAATCAACCAAAAGAACAGACATGGCAGTTAAAACACACACAATCCTGTTCATCAATGCCATCTAGCAGAACCAGAACATTGGACAGGGGAACTACTTTTGCTTGCAACACAAACAAGTTGATCTGGCAATCTCACAGAGAGAGAGAGAGAGAGAGAGAGAGAGAGAGAGAGGTTCTTGCTTCAAAGATTGCTAAACATGATGGCAACACTGGACTATCTTTTTTACCTAACTCCACTATCCTCAGATCCAATAACAGTAAGTTGCAGTGCAGACATTCTGCTGCTTCATGTCTTGGAATCTTTGCATCCAGAGAGAGAGAGAGAGACAGAGGGAGGGGATGGCATGCTTTGATAGAGCATCACCAGCACTGAAGGAGACGCTGCTCAAAATCTACAGGTTTGAGATACTTCCCCTTTCATGTTGAAACAATGAACAATGCCATGGCCACGTGTTGAACTTTTAAATCCACTTCATTGCCAAAATGCTCCAACATCTTACTGATGGTGACATACAACAATCCATGCGCGCTAAACACCAGGAATCATTGACAATAGCAAAGTCTCTTCTCCAAGACTAGTACTTCCCTATAGTAGACTTGCCAATGGCAATTAGTTTACATGAAGGAGTAGACATTTTGACGGCACCGCCAGTCAGCCGACCATGTGAACATGCTTGGAAGCTCGCATTGGAAAGGACCATTCAAAACTACTTAGCGTCCTGCTTCCACAATCGAGCTCAATCAGCATCATGCTTCCAAATTTTTCAACCAATGCGTCCCTTGCTAGTCAAAAAGGTGTAAGATGTGGAGTAGATACTGTCACAAATAGTACTGCTTCCATAAATCTAAATCAGAAAAAGACTATAACAGCTTATCAAAATACTGGAGTAAACAGCTACAATGCTTGACAAACAGATGATTCTTACAATGGGGTATTGTTTGGATGTGCAGAGCTAAAAAGCCCACAGAGATGGATCAGCACCTGTTCGAATTTGGGGCAGTGGAGTACCATATAAAGGTAAATAATCACGCATGTAAATGGTCCAGGCACGAAAGTTTGATATTCCAGGAAGCTTCAAATTCGCATAATTTCCTAATAAACTTATATTTTGCTTTCAATCTTTTCTGTACCACTATCGTGTTTGAGATTTTGCCATCAGTAACAGGGTTAATCCTAGGTTCAATTACATGGAGTTTCAGGTTTTATGTGGGATAGTGTCGTTGATGACAGATTGTTTTGCTTAAGGAAATGAATGGTTAATGAAGTGCTCACAAGAGCTATTTGCAATGCTTCGCAGTGTTCAGCATCAGATCCGCAGTATGTCCATTTGTCCATATCTACTCCATTACTATCTCAGGAAGTGTCCCTCGCTCAAGGAATTTCACAAGGAACGGTACAGATGATAAAAGGAATTCACTCAGATATGGTGGAGCTCATTGAGCCCGCCACAGAAGGATATCAGCTCACTTTGAGGCTCAATTTTGATAAGATCCCGCAAGGCAAAGGTTTGATGCGTATCTTGCCTCTTACTTGATGCAGAACATATATTTGCCTACTGGCATATTGAATTATCACTCCTTGCAATCAGAATCTTCCAAAATCATAACAGAGCTCGCCGGCATTCAAGCGGCGATACTGAGTTGCCAGTTGAAAGAAATGTTGAGCAATGTCGCCTCACAGGACACATCTCAAGGGATGTACAAGCCGATTAAACTTGTGTATCACCCGAGAGAGCCTTTCTTTGTGGTCAAACAGGTAAAATATGTATATGATCATTTTCTTTTCGTGAGAACGGTAAAAGAAAGAGTCTCTTGATATCAAAACACAGACATAGGCGGGCACTTGTTTTTGTGCTCGGACCGATGATTTCCGATGCTCAATAGCTTGGAGTCTTCATGAAAGAGCCCTTTAACTGAATTGAAGAAACTTGCGGTTGACAGCCCAAAAAGACCGCTGCAGTGTTCCCCATGCGTTTCCAAGAAAACACGGATGTAATCATCGCGACTGCCTTCTTTCAGGTGCATGTGGCATCCGAAAAGCTAGTCAGCTTCTCTACCGTTAACTTGAAGTTCTTAAGGTCTGCTTGTCCTAAAGATTCGGCGTTGGTGGCTTTAACAGGAACTCATGGACGTCGGAAGCTCTGAAGCGTGGGCCAAGGTACCCCTCTGTACATGGTCGCCGATTCCACCTCCAGAGTTGAGAGGAGAACAAATGGAAGACCTGAGCACCAACTGCGGGTTCGTCTCCTTCGGTAAGGAGTACTGATTAAGCACATTCGGCATGTTAAATCATACATGTAACATGATTCATGCGGTCATGCTTTATTTCATCTTGACAAGCATATAACTTCACATATACCATTTCAGATTGATCGATTCACTGAAACCTCGAATCCCTTCAGGTGATCTAACATGCATTTGTATGGCACAGATATTTTGCCACATCATGTTAAAGGCAAAAGACTGGACAAAACCGTGTGGAATCTGCTGAACTTTTACGCCTTCGTAAAGTATCACGTTAAGGTGATCCGTATGACTTTGATCATCACAGACTGGCTCAGTTCTCAGCTTCTGATAGATGTTACCGGAAACTGACTTAGCTCGTGTTTCCGATTTAGTGCACTCGGGGATTCATACAGAGGAGGATGCGAAAGCGATTGGACAATCTTGTCAAGGTGATGAACTAAAAGACACTAAGAAAAACCAGTCTTTCTATCCTTCATCAAATTTGATATTCCCCTTTCTGCAAATTGCAGATTCTGCACATGGCAAGCTCAGAAGAGGGTGGACATGTCGATGATGCCCAAGGTACTCTCTTAGTTAGCCTTATCTCAGCACATACCATGCAGTTCGACTATAAGTTAATCGTGCATATCTAAGAAGGAAGAACAAAAACTTGTGACCAAGATGTCTTAAATCACTGTATTTTAACCTGCCATATGTACAAGTAGTTAAGATAATATGCAAAGACAGTTAAGTATCTGTTCTTGTAATAGTTGCAGGATGTGGCTGCATCAAGAGTTTCGTTAGTGTTTCGAAAACTAACACGCTGAGACGAAAATGTCGGAATTTCACCAAGAAGGTCAAGAGAATGCGCTCCCCGATTAAAATTCACGGGTTCCGGCGCTTCCGCCGACGGTGGTTAACCGTTCCCAAGTTCTCTTCTGCATTTAAGTATACAAAATTAGATTGATGATGTACTCTGCGTATACGGAGGCAATTTGAAGCCATCAAACTCTAAAACATGTCAAGAAAATTTCTCATGACTTTAAGCGTTTGTATATACAGAGAATAAGCAGTTTCAGCTGTAAAAAATCTTCAGCTTTTATATATGTACTCGGAAACGTGCACATAATATTAGCAGAATTCTTCTGTTCCGTGCTAAATAATAAAGGATCTTCTTTTCGTGCTACTAAATTTCAATAAGTATCGGTAAGTGTCCAAAAACCGTACTGGTGACTTTTATTTTTCAAGTAACTTATTATTAACTTGCCAGCACTTATATAAAACTATAAATTTTCTTTTACAGTAGGCAAATTACAATTTTGTTCTAATTTACCAACTTTTGTTTATATATATATTTATTACCCCTTCGAAATTATTGACCCTTTTATTGAATTACCAATCTAAATTTGAGTGACTTACTAGTTTTTGTCTGATTAAATTACCAATTAGTTCTGGGTTATCAATTCTCGTTTAAGTTATTCACCGATGATCGTACTTTTTTAGTTTACGAATTCGTATTCACTGATGGCAAGAGGTGTGTCCAAATCCAATATCTGTGATTTAGAGCGATATCGAGTAAAGAATTGCTCATGCCCAGTAATTTTCTTGTCCCGTCCCACCCATGTGAGAATGGTTTCTTGGCCGCTTCGAAGCAAAGCAAAGCGAGGAGGAGGTCCGCTACAGTTGAAAATTTGTAGAGAAAAATTGCAGAAGAGGAACAGCAATACCAATTTCGGGGGATTCTGTTTTTAGGGATTTTTGTTATTTTTTACTCATAATTTTATTGGGCAAAAGTGTTCCTGCTCCGGCGGCCGAAAGACCGGCGAGTTCAGCCGACTAGTTCAGGCCCTTATTTAAGATAAATTTTACTTTAAACCCTCTTGAGAGAAAATGACCCATTTGAGCTCTTATTCGAAATTTTCCTCGACTTTTTTTATATTGAATCACTAATTTTTATTAACCTTAGGTAGCAATCCCTTACATTTACAAAGTCTTTTTAGTAACTTAAATTAACACAACTCACCAACTTTTCACCCGTTAAATTACCACGCAGCATTTGAGTTACCGATTCTCATATGAGGGACATTTTTATTGCCGATTTTTCTTATTTTTTTACCGGCTTTTATTTGCCTTCTTTTCAATTGCGCCTTATTCAATCAAGCTCGGGAAACCATTCTATCCTAATGGCATTCTGACCTCCAAAACAATGGCTTTATCTGGATCGATCCCTTCATCTTTGGGCCAAGCTAGTGCACCTCCGATCCCTTCACCTCAGCAGAAAACTTTCCGTTTCTTTCAAGAACTTTGCTAATCTCTAGCCTGAGGTGTAACGCGTTTTCTGGAGAAATTCTTCCCCACCTTTCAAATTTAAGTACCCTGCATCTTTGGCTGCAGCATTCCTGCCTGAGTCGGCCAAAACTTTGCTAATCTTTAGTTTGAGGTGTAATGCGCTTTTTTAAGGAGAAATTCTTCCCCACCTTTCAAATTCAAGTTCCCTGCAAGTCCTTGTTCTTCAACTTGGAGTTGTGTTGCACTGTAACACTGTGGTGCAACATGCTGTAATCAAGTCTCGACAGGAAGAAGTTTACTCCAACCCCAGGCACGACAAATTCTCTGTCCCAACTTTCACCATTACAAAAATTCTAGACTTTGATGATTATATCTAAACATCTCCAACGAACCGAGGAGAATATTGCATCAACTCCTCCCAGTAAGGATGTCAAACAATTTCAGACCTAATGATACGCGAAGTAACGTGCAATTATACCCAGTGGAAAAGAAAGAACCATATCCTCGTGAACATTGATCACATCTCTAAACATAAAGTCATTCCCTTAAGGCATTAAACTGTTCAGATATCCGAAGCTAAGCATTGACACGTCAACACCATCCAACACAAAAGTCCTACATAAAAAACAATACCTATCAAAATTCGGTAACTGCAAACAAACCCACATCACTCTTCATCAAAAAGTGAATCCACTAGTCGTCATGTGAAAACCGAGCAACCAAACTCTCAAACGATTGCATTCGCTGCACTTGCAATCCTCGGCCATAAATCGGCGCATTCCTTTCCAATAGGGCCAGTAATAGCAGAACCTATAAGTTCAAAAGCAATGACTGAGAACATTTCTTAAATACAGTAAAAAATAATGCAGTTGGACATGACAACAGCAAGCCTTCAATGACTTGAACACATACAAACACAACTGCCAAAGCACGGACTCATGTGCGGAGATAATTACTGACATACTCAACCTAGGTTTGATTTAGTTATTACCCCTAATGGAAGAGAGACATCCTATCATTTCATATCAGATGTCTGCTTATGTATTATATAATAGTCATACCTTTCATTTCCCCCTTTGGATTAACAATGACCCCAGCATTATCTGCAAGAAAGAGCAGATCTCCGCTTAGAAAATGGTATCTTGCTTCAGAAAATAAGAGGGCAGCAACTAAAGTCAGACATGATCAAAAACCAGCTTCTTCCAATGAGGTAATGAAGAAAGAATTGCAAGAGAAATAACACTAAAGATAGAGAGCATCTTTAATCGGAGTTGGCAGGCAATGGGCCAGCTAGAGCATGTTGTCTAGAGCATCATATATGGAAAAACATGTGGGCCCAAATGGAGCAGATGCAACCTTGTATGGTGCGGAAACATCTGTGAAGAAGGACTCTCTTACTTTCCCCAGACTCGTAATGGTATCAACCACCAAACCAAGGCAGATACCTGGACTTATGTCTGGAAAATACCTCAGGCCTCTACAATCCTCATAAAAACCTTACTCAAATCAAAAGCTGGTAATTAACCCAGTGTTGGAGGACCATGTCAGTAAAAGAGCACCAACATTGAAAAGAATGATCAGACACTAAAAAAATCTACTGAAGGGATAAGAAGAGGCTATCGAGATAACACTGGAAAAGGATTAATGCTAACAGGGGAATGGAATCGTTTGACAGAATGGGAAAGTTGTTCAGATCTCATTTAAATGGAAAGTCGCTCAGATCTCTCATTTCCACTGATTTCCTTCCACTTCCCTCTCTCTGCTTCATTGGATCCAAACACTCGAAAAGGATTAATGATGCGTAAAAAGTGTGCATTGATCAATTTCCTTTTGCTTCCTTCCAAAAACATGAAGCGATAACAGAGAAGACAAATGGTAATGGGACCAGAGTTCATACCAACACTCAAGACACGGTAACCAGTGTCAGAAGAAACAGTCAGATATATTTTCGCAATATCACAAATCAATACATCACCTTCGAAGTACATGTAAACCCCATCCTTTCGGCGCCACGGTTTGCGCTGCCTCACAATGACGGCCGGCATCACCTTCTTCCTGAGGTCAGGCTTCCCCTTCTTCACGGTGGCCATCACCATGTCTCCGACGCAAGCGGAAGGCAAACGGTTCAGGCGCCCCTTGATTCCCTTCACGGAGATGATGTACAGGTTCTTGGCCCCGGTGTTGTCTGCACAGTTCACCGTGGCCGCCACCGGCAGACCCAGCGACATCCTGAACTTGTTACCCGCCGAACCTCCGCGCCCTGGAACCCAAGAAATACAAGCAGTTTTAGGCCACCAATTCAACATCCTCCAACTCATTACACATCATTCCTTTCTTCCAGGCTTGCTTCAAGCTCCTCCACTTCCACAACATATGATTTCTAACCATGCACTTTTTAGATCAGACATTAGTTAAATCAGCACCCAGAGAGATCCCAAAGCTACTCGATCAAAGCACCCACAAAGTCAATTCTTCGAATTCAGTGGAGTCCCAGTCAATTCTTCGAATTCAGTGGAGTCCCAGCCAATTTCGTTGCTCCCTAAGCAAAAAAAAAAAAGCGATCTTTCCCCATCTAAACCTCAAAGTACTAGCATTTGGCCCCTTAACACAAAACCCAAGGCATCGGCCAACAAAGAAACGCCTCCATCGACAAACGAAAAGCTTCAACTCCATCATCAGAAGCAGCCAAAAACTATGATTAGCAAGCGATCCCCTCGCTTTCGTTCCAAAGTTTTGCAAGAAAAACAACGCGAAACGTCGAACAGAGACACTGCGAATCGAATCGACAAGCTAGAAAAGCGAGAAAGAGAGAGAGAGAGAGAGAGCTGACCTCGCTTCGACATCTTCGCGCCGTCTGAGAGGGGAGAGACTGGAAGCCGTGACGCTTAGGGTTTTTGAGCTTTTATATAAGCGTGCGAGCTGAAGAAGAAGAAGAAGACGGCTAGGGTTTTCTACGAGGCTGACGGGAAGATTTGCTTAATTCCATTGAAGTCCCCCATCTTTTCGGTAATCCCAAATTAGTCCCATCGAGCTTGATTAAGTCTAATGACGGCCCCCCATTCACCTCACTATTTTGGGCTTCGCCTTCTCTTTTTTTCCTTGATCCCCAAAATTAGTGCGTACTTTTCGATTTTTAACGTGGAAAAGGGCCCAAATCTTAAGCGGCTCGATATCTTCGATTTTTGTTTACTCAAACTCATTAAGGATGCATTTGGTTCAACATTCCCAAGGGGCTTTCGGCCTCGAAAACCCCTTTGGGGAAAATGCCGAGGCATTTAGCGAGCATTTCCAATGAGCTTTCGGCCAAAAGCTAGCATTGGGAATACTGAAACCAATTTTTTTCCTTCCCAAACTACCCTCGCTGATTCTTCAATATTCCAATTTTGCCCCTAATGACTGTTCATCTTCTTTGGGCGGAGGGCGACCGGCCAGAGCCGCCCGAGGCCAGATCGGGACGATTTTTTTTTTCATAAAAAAAATCCCAAAGTCCTTTGCAAAATAAGATTTGTCAAATACTGCTTGAGCCAAAATAGTTTCACAGAGGATTTTTTTATCAAACGCAATTTCCATTTCCCCAAGGGAGTTTAAGTTAAAAGGTATTTGCATTCCCCCAAAGTCCCTCGAGAATGCTGGACCAAACGCACCCTAAAACGATGACCGAGCACGATAGGCCGAGTGGCGCGAATACTTCCTATCTATTCACGAGGTCACGAGTTCGAAGCATAGCCGAGGCTCGTGAGCCGACCCTCGTGCTGAAGAGAGCGTTCTTCGCCACTCGAATGCCCGTTGTATGCCGATTACGGGCTCATCTTCCTCATAGCCCTGGTCGAAGCAGCAAATTATAAGTTTTATACACAATTTTATTAATGGAGTGAAGATGAAATGAAACACCAAGCGAAAGTGTGTTTTTTCTGACCCGTAATTCACAATCATCAAGCAATGCTAGACTTTCTAAGCTCGCCTCATGAAATTCGTTTACTAAGGCTCCGTTCGTTTGGCGGAAAATATTCTTCCGGAAAATATTTTCCGGGTTTTCCGGTGTTCGGGGGGCGGAAAACGTTTTCCGTGGGAAAATATTTTCCTTCCCCCGTCACAAAATAGCCTAAGTCTATGGAAAATGAATTCCGCTTCTGAAGAAGCGGAAGTCATTTTCTGGAGCTTCTTCTTCTTCTTCTTCACTAAGGTCGCCGGTTGCCGCCGGTCGCTGCCGGCCGCCGCCGCCGCTACCACCGGCGAAAAATATTTTCCGAAACTTTTTCATATTGATCACTGAACACCGGAAAATTATGTTCCGGGAAAACATTTTCCAGGAAAATGACTTCCGGGAAAATATTTTCCAAAAGGAGAATATTTTCCGCCAAACGAACGGAGCCTAAGTAACGTGTCGGATTGTAATTGGCCCTTCAAACAAGTGGATCATACTAGTGAACCGATAATATTCTGGCAAAATCACTTAAGAAACCAAATCATACATGGAAGTCTTCACGAGTCACGCATTTTCGATGTCTTTATCATTACAAGGTTCTTTTAAGACAACCAAGTCTAAAGGATAATCGAATAATGGGGGGGTGGAAAAATATGTGACAATCCAAAATGCTTTTGTTTCTTTTTTCTTTTCTAATGCAAAAGAATTCTTTCTCTGTCCAACAATTTGCCTCTGTTTATCACCAGTAGGATGGCCTAATTCAAAAAAAAATAAAAAATAAAAAAACTGAAACTTCAGGTCTAATCTCAGTTTTGCATTAATTTTTTTTTTTTAAAAAAAAATCCCTATCTTTCGCTCTTATCTCAAATCTGCCCATGCGTGCCCACTAGTTTCGTCAAAATTATCAACATCAAGGCCAATTAAAAATTCGTTATTAAAACCTGCGTCTTCATCAACACCCTCACATTTGTACGGAACTATAACAGCCTTCCAATATTGATAGTCTTCAAAAAATCAGTAGCAATTTTTGAACGAGTGGGTAGATTTGGGGACTAAAGTGAAACTTGAAAAAAAAAAACGGGATAGAATTGAGATTGACCTAACGTTTGGGGTTTCTAAGGGAATTAGCCCTCAGTATGATCCTACTGATTCTTAGTAGATTGATGTGCAACAAGTGCATAGCTTAATGGAGAAACAGCAAAGAAGTTGGCATATTCATTTTATCGAGTTAACTTAGACCAATCTGTCAAATAAAGATAGTTTTCATCAACCAACCGAAAGTTTTAAGGACATTTTTAGCCATCTCATAATAAATTCTCACACCATCTGCCCCATTCTTGCCCTCCCTAACCTTTTACCTGTTCTCATCATCGAATCGTTTTCGCCGACAACTCACAAGAGTATGATCACTAGTTCCAAACCGTAAACAGTTAAATTTACCAAGCCGGAAGTGCCTGCGCAAGTGAACCCAGCCAGGAAGCGCATAGCATCCCACAAACGACGTCATCCGATCCAGAATTCAACTAGTTCAAGTTCAAGATCAACCATGAAAGCGGTAACAACCAACGTCGTAACTTGATGGCGATGGAAATGCAGAAACCGACTATAAACATTAACGTCGAGCCTCTGCAACGAATTTTAAAGTGCCCTACACTTCGGAACACGAGCTCACTGTAATTACCTGATGGGCTGTGCTGAACCCAGAGGACCATCAGATGTATCTTCTCAGCCACAAGGCATTATAGGCATTCAAGGGAAGTGAATCAGATCAGGAAAAAAGAATAGATGCATCAGAAGATTATCAGAACATAGTTTCAATACCAAGGATATGATTTGTCCACGTTGTCCAGGAGAAGAATGGCACAAATAATACAGAAACAAGTGCTCTCAGTAGGAAGCAAATTGCCTGATGACAGTGCATCTCCAGTTACATGGCAAACATTACATCTTGGGGTTGTAACAAATCATTGGTCACTGAAAAACCTAAGACTCTTATGACAAGATGCAGGGAAACAGATATGAATTCAAATGGTAATCACATTTGAAAGTGGGTTTTTTTTTTCCTTTGCCCAGCTCAATAGTAAGACTCTGCACGGTTGGGCTAGCGATGCGTCTTCACAAAAGTAGGATTTTAACTACAACAAACTGCAGCAATCCTCTAGAATGTAGAGAAAAGGCAGCAGAAGCATGAATGCGATATCTTTCTCACTACAACATTCGTGTCACATGCTAGTGTAGCAAATTTTAAATAAGTACCCTTCAATGCCGAGCACAAGGCTTAAAGAGGAAAACTTATGCCACAAAATAAGTACACCAACCTCTGACAAAGTTTAGTCAATGATCTGTTGACCGATACCACCTTAGAATGTTCATTGCCACAAACGTTCAAATTTACGAAAAATTTGCATCCACGGACCAAAAAGTAGTTCGATTAGCGATTCTTATCAAAGCATATTCTGGAGTATCTAATGCCAATTATCATCAAATCCTGAGGATGGAATTCAATATCGACAAAACTGGTAAACGGTAAGAAACAAAATCCAATCTTCAAGCTGCTAACTTCAAAGTCGAGTTTCATTACAACCCAGGTGAGACATTTTAAACTCAAATTATAGCAGAAGCATCCCAAAAATCTACTCCTTTTGCCATTTGAACCTTCAGTCAAAAAGAAGAGCAATTACATGATCTTTGACTACCAGATTCAGAACTCCAATTTCTGTACCTGATATAAATAGCTAAAATACCTAGAGGACAACCTAATCAAAGACTAACAACGTCAGACCCTGCCAAAGCAATCACAACAATTGTAATATACCTCACACTTTAGTTGGTTAAAAAAAAAGCTTAGAACTGCGGTATAGACCGAACCGCTGTTTGTTGTTACTTCAACTCCTGTACATTTTTGGGTAGTAGAGAGCGGATCTGTGTATGAATGTATGCAACTGCGATTGCGAAAGACTGCAGAGCCGACAGAGTTGATTGAAAATGTACAACGTACAAACTGTCGCTCACATTTGTCACCCTTAAGGTGGGGAGGCAATGCTCCGAACCCTGCAACAACAAGATCAACAACAGTTACAACCGTGCAAGTGCGAGAATTATCTAGACAGGCAAGACTCCAAACATGGAAAGCTTTCTCAGACGATATGTAGCGGCAAGCTCACTAAACCTGCTCACTTAATCTGCTAATTCTGTCAAAAAGATGCCATTCGAAATGTTAAAGTGTTAAAGATGTACAAAGCATATGTCCACCTGTTTGTAAAGATCGAATTCTTTGCACTTTCCTTGCCCTTCCTCTTGTGGCAAAATCTCTTCCTTGTTTGATGCGTTGCTTAGTATAGTGAGCGGACACCCCAGGTCCCACCCACCACAATCGCAACATCCATTGGACCTCCATCTCTCTACAAGACTAGAAGGGCCACCATTCGGGATTCTTGGACCACCATGGATACCTGCTGAGATTATAACATCCATACTAGTTGAGCTATGGCCTCTGTTTTGAGTGCGATGTTGGGAAGGTGGCGACGGTCTTGGGGAATCAAGGTTCTGACTGTGTCCAAACTTATTAAGAAATTTCAATCCCCAACCTCCTGCACGCTCCCTTTTATCTTCTTTGACGTGCTCCTTTGTGACAATGGCAGCCAATTCAAGGTTCGTAGGAAGATAGTGTTCCTGAATATCATTACCAGCATCGACCTTATTGGAGAGATCCTGACAATTATTAGAGCAGTGATTTTCCAAAATGGTACTACCTCCCCCAACTATGGGAACACTTACTTGCTTGTGCATTTGGCCGTTCTTGAAAACTTCCATCACCTTCTTTGACAAACTCTTGTATTTTTTCAGGTTCTTGCTTGAAGGTTCCGTCTCTCCACCTCCCGCATAAATTTCACAACCATATAGTACAAACTCAGTCTCATTGATCTTTGAATCGTTCTGACAACAAACGACTCTCCTCGATACCTTCAATATACCAACAACCGGGTTCTCCCCTTGACGGACCGCATTTTCCTTTCGACCTTGAATTTTGGAATAGAAAGAGTACATATAACCCGGTGTCTCTAAAGCAGACGAAACCTTTGCGAGATCAGCTATGTACAGTTCTGTCTGATCACCCAAAGAGAAAACAAAATGTGGAATGCCACCATTCCATGTGCAATGCAGCATTCCTTGAGACACAGAAGCAGCAGGAGAAGAACAGCAAGATGAGGAGGATGAGGAAGAAGATAGTTCGGAACTCATGGAGTTCACGCTTGACATCGAAAAGAATCTCGTGTGCTTTGGCTCGGGTTCACAATTAAATGAACCCGAAATTGGTGTTTCCTTCTCTAGCTTCTGTGAGGAACCGATGCTTAACTGGTTTGAAAAACTCGTGTCGTGATGCAAACGATCCTTAACCGCATCTACGTTTGATCTTCTAAAGTTAGCTCCACATTCGAGGGCACCAACCCGGTGCATTAAAGGGCTATGCATTATATTAAGCATGCTTTCGCTCCCCATAATCGAACCTAGAATCCAACTGCCAGCAAGGCTCTCACCTCCGTCTGGAGCCCCAATTACCAATGAGCGAGCAAAAGCAAGCTTGGTAGAATCACGGTCATTCTCATTCAATACGTTAGCCAGGTACAAGCCACTGGACAAGATGCTCGTCATCGAAGCACTCAAATTCAAAGAGATGTTACACGACGTGGCCTTCGATGCCCTGAGATGTATTGCCTCAAGGCAATTTCGAAGATACTTCTCATCTAGACTCAGCAAATGCTTTGGAATCGAATTATCTAGGCTACAGAAGCCTTGGTAAGTTGGGCTTTTTATGCATCTTTTGCCGCTTCTTGATCTCCTGACATTTAATACAAGAGACTGGTTTCGATTCACGCTTCCCATGGAATCCAAAGAAGCTTGCTCCAGTGACTTACATGACGAGGCTTGATTCACCTTGTCACCTCTCCAAGCTTTTGCACGAGCATCTTCCATATCGCGCCTCCAAATATAATACCCGCATCAACAGCGTAAAACTCACCGTTCCCTCCGCAGCTTCCAGAAATTTGAGGCAAACCTGCCAAGTAGCCGCACAATATGAATCTCCGTCTTGCGATAGCCAATACGAAAAACAAACTGACTAGTTCACGATCGAGTAAGTTTCAATACGACGGGAGCAGCAAAGCAAACAGGGAACCAAATTCAACATTCCGACACGGCACATTCTCTTAAAACCCTACACATCATCACGAGGACACACGTCTAATTTGCTTTATATCATGCGAAACAGAAGGGGAATGCTAAGACTCGAGCCGTAGATAACTTCAACGGAAAATGCAGCTCGCGCGACCTCAAACCAATTGGACTTCCTTAAAGGCGAAGCGACCCAACACCACAAGGATCCCCTCCAGATCGGTCTCTCGACACCCAAGCCCAGATTCAATCTTTCCTTTCCGTCTCCACTTTACCCTTTTTTCTCTCGTGGTGAAAAAAAAAAACCCCCCCACAACCCCGCAAAGCCCACTCGATTAAGAACGTCAAAAGAAGAACAGTCCCAACCCCATTTGACCCACAAAGTCGCAATATCCACCCCCCACACACCCAAAGAAACCCAATAAACAGAGACCCAGCAAAAAGTCGCAAACTACCACAATCATCACATCACCGAAAAGAGAATGGCAAAAAAATAAAATAAAATAAAAAATCGAACCCATTGCTTCCTTACTCGAGAGAAACGGATCCAAGAAACGAACGAACGAACGACCCCTCCTCCAGCTCACACCCAACAAGCCATCATCTTCTTGAAACTCCCCGGCATCAGACCCCTCCAAGCTTCGAGCTTTTTCCTTCTCTCTCTCTCTCTCCCCTCGCCAAAGAAAAACCAAGAAAACGCGGGGGGCGAAAACGCGGGGGGGAAAGGAGGCGAATTTGCGAGCCCGGAAAGAGCTCCCGAAAAAGCAGCAGCAGCAGCAGCAGAGAGCACGAGCTCGCGAGGAGGGGGGAAGTGGGGGGGGGGGAAAAGTAAGCAAATGCGCGCTGGGCTGATTAAGCCATTGGTCCGTGCGCTCTAAAACCCAACTGATGCTGCTGCCGGTTTAGGGAGAGGCAGCAAGAGAGAGAGAGAGAGAAAGTGCGGGATTTAACTGAAACGGAGGAGAGAGAGAGAGAGAGAGAGATGGAGGGAGAGGGAGACAGACAGGTGGCGCGGGGCCCACGACGGGCGGTCGTAAGCCACGTTGTCTCGTCGTTGGGAAAATTGCGCTGGAGCAAAGACCAGAACATGCGGGGCGGGGGATTTACCGTGTTCTGTGGGGCCCACGTCGCTAGAAACGATTTCTTTTTTTCCCGCGTGATTTTCCTCCTCCCCTTTTTTTATTTTTTTTTAATTAAATTTGCGCGAAGCCAAAATAGGGAAAAGTCTAAATTTCAGGTCCGACCAGAAGGAAGGCGACGAGGGCTAGGAGTACAAATCCTCTAAAATTGAAGGACGACGTTGTGATAGGGTTTTTTTTTTTTTTCATGTGGTATGTTTCGATGTGCCCCATAAATTTTAATACTCATTTAGAGCTTAAAATATTGCGCCGCGAGTAATTTTATAGTTCGATTTTGTTATTGTTAATACCGTACTAAATGTGGACCCGAGCAAGTCCTGGAACTACTTCGTCTGACATTGCGATAGTTTTTCTCCCACGTGGTATGTTTAATTATATCCCGCAAATTTAAATGCTTATCTAGAGCTTAAAAGATTTGCATCGATTTTTGTTATTGTTAATACTTCACTAGATATGGACCTGAGCAAGCCCTAAAACTACTTCGCCTGAATTTTGGGACGTAAAATTCGGGGATATTCCTGAAAGAGAGGGAAGGAAAAACTATTTTTCCGATTAGGGAGCTAGACGTGCGGGTACCAATACGTTAAAATAAGTAACGCAGTCGTAAGCTTTCGACTAGGGCCCGCTCCGCCTCTTCCAGATGTATAGTCGAAAGCTTATAATTACATAAGACCTCTCTTCAATTGCAACCCCGAAAATTTTCGCTAGAATATATCTCCCAACCTGCATCGCACCACACTCGATGTTTTTTCATACGCGGCAAACGGAACCCATCTTGATGGTTCGACCAAGGATGAGCCCCATGCGCGATAGGGTTGGACGAAGTTCCCGAGCATTATTAAAGTCTACTCTTCCTGTAAACACCCGAGTCCGAGCATCGATCATCCAACTTAGTGATTAATTCCTTTAAATTTTCCATCTGAATCACTGTTCACCTTAAAAGCATCGGTTGCATGATTCCACCGGGCTACCTCCAAACAGCGGAAAATAAAAAAAATAAAAAAAAAAGGCCTAATTATGGCACGAGAACATTAAAGTACCGGGAGACAGATCACATGGTTTTGATCTAATCATGGATCATTCCATCGAAGTCCTCCGTGCCATTGACGAGACCAAAACCCACTTCAAGACATCGAGATTCTTCCACCCGTGCCCATATCTCCTCCCCCCCCCCCATCGTACAAAGTTGTTGACTAGTCCTCACATTTTTCATAATTTTGCTTTCGAATTATATCATTGATTGCCTCGACATGTGTGGTTCTTGTCTGATTTTGAGAGCGGTCGGCTCAGTTTGTTTCGCGAAAAATAAATGATTTAAAAAAATATTTCCCCCATAAATGATTGTTTATATCGCTTATTAAAATGAATGAACGGAAAATATTTTCATCGTTAACGAAATATTTTAGATATAAATTATTGTTGGTAATGAAAAGAAAAATTTATTAACTAATTATTGCAAATGAATACAGGTGACCATTTCATTCGTTTTGCGTGAAACCAACGAAAATCTAAGTATTCGAAGATTTGCCCAATTCGATATGCTCGTAAATTTACAAGCGAGTGCTTATATCTATAGTTGGATAAAAGCTTACTTCAAAAGGGTTTCCCTTCAAGTTCAATTGGTCTAAGGTTCGAATCCGACGAATCCAATCAGTTGACCTCTGAACGAACACATAGGCTCCGCTTGTTTCGCTGAAAATATTTTTCGAAAAAAAAATTTCCTCATTTTCCAGGCGGCATTTGGATTGCTTTGGTAATGAGTCAATAGAAAATATTTTCTTAATCAACGGAAAACCTGTACTTAAATTCAAGAAAATGTTACTTCTTTTAAAAAATTGAAAATCATTTTTCCAAAATATAACTAAAAATCGGCATTTGAACCTGAAACTCTGCGCTTGGTCACGAGAACCTCATCGCTTGTTCCCGGGCCCTTCGTAATGGACCGGGGTCTAGAGGCTGGGGTCAGGTCCACCAGGGTCCATCAAGGCCAAGCCTGAGTCCAAAGAGGCCAGGCTCGAGTCAATAAAGATGGGGCTCGGGGCACCGACGCTCACGCCCAGGACCTTGGTCCCCATGGCCAAGTCCCTAGCACTTGAGCCTAGGTCCATTGAGGCCGCCCTAATACCCCTGTACCATTGCTTGGCTCCTTGGCGCCCCGAGCCGAGTCCACAAAGGCCAAGCTCGAGACCCTGGTGCCCACGCCTTGATCCATGGAGGCTGGCCCCGGGTCCATAGAAGCCAGGCTCAGGATCTCAAAACCCATGCCTAGATCCCCGACACCCGAGCCCAAATATGAGTTCATTAAGGTCAAGCTTGGGACGCTAATGCCCGTGCCTAGATCTCCTATGCCAAGCTGAGGTCCATGGAGCTCGAGGCTCGGGACCCCAATGCCCATGCCCATGTCCCTGACACTTGAGCTCAAGTCCATCGAGATTGGGCCCGAGACCCTAATGCCCATGCCCGAGTCACCAACATCCAAGCTCAAGACACCAGTGCCCATGCCCGGATCCCTCTCGCTCAAGTCCATCGGGGCCGGGCTCGGGACCAAGTCCTTAGAGCTCGAGCCGGGGTCCATCGAGCCAGAGTTCCGGACCCCAACACTTGGGATCGGGTTCTCGACAGAACTTGGGGCCTCGATGCCCATGCTTGATTTCCCGGCTACCTGTGCGCAAGTTACTAGCACCCAAATAATGTATATCTATATATGAAAATCAAATCAAAATTTCCTTTCCAAATGATGGAATATATTTTATGATTATTTTTTAGATTTCGGCCCAATACTAAAAAATATTATCATTTTCCTAGAAAACGACTTTTTTGGAAAATATTTTTCGTAAAACAAACGGAGCCATAGTATAAAAGGGCTCTTATCCGGTAGGCGCTTTAGTAGGGTCTAGTGATATGCAAGCCCAACACGAGAGGACCTTTATAGAGATTAGTCTCGAAATAGGTCGCACACTCTAAATAGTTGAAGTGCGCGAGCCGCAAAATTTATAAAGTAAAGATATTAGAAAAGTCCCCTAAAGGCACTTGTTAAGTAAGTCACCGATTTATAATTTTCATGGCGCCGAATTTTTCTAAGTATTACACTTGACCGATGTTTTTGAAAGTTGAAGTTTTCCCACAATAAGTATGCTCAACATGTATTTATAGGAGGCAATTGTCAGCACCATCTATTAATAAAATATCACAATTCAAAAGTAAAATTCACCTCGAGCAAAACTGTAGTGTGAATTCACTATGATTAATATCATACATTTCCAATCTGTTTAGATCGGCCAGTGTGTTACATTAATTTTCCAAGGGGCGATGCGATATTTGCCAAGATTCTGACCGGATAATATATGGAAAAATGCGATATTCATTCGTTTTTGTAAGCGATACAAGCGATCGCTTTTAGGAAAATATTTTTTCAAATCGTTCGTTTTCCAGGGAACAAACGGAACCTTAAACCCCGCGAGTAGTCGTTTGAGTAATCTTTGCATCCAAATCTCCATGTTCGAGCAGCCCACATATTAATCTCTCCATGCCAATCTCGCGAATGTCCCGAACACATCGAGTGATCACCGAAGCATCTAGCCGAGTTTGCGGTACGGAGGATGCGGAGATTCCGGCGGCGTACGCTCTTATAGAACATTAATATGACGTGCATTTGCATTCACGGACGATGATGTCTACATTAAATCTTCGAATTCTCGCGACGGACTCGGCTCGAGACTGGACTAACATTAGCCGGGAATTCATAAGAAAAGTTAACAGCGTGCCTAAGAAAAAAAGAAGAAGTTTAGATACTCGAACAGCGTCAGTATCCCAATTCAAAAGGGTTATATAGATAGAGACTATAGAGAAATTTAAATCATATCCGATGCTCAAGAACTGCACGGTCAATGTTGACTTTTACTGTATCGACTTATCAAACGCTTGTTGCTGCGGAATCAAATTATAAGGGTCGGGTGTTTCGCGTCCGAAACGTTATTTCCTCCGGCTGGTTTGAAAATCGAAACCTTTTTTGTCGTTAAATTTGCTTAATGATTATCCTGGAGGCGCTCGTTAACGAGATCCCCTTAAAAAAATTTCAACTTTTTTGTTGGGTATGTGATGATGCGCGGTTTTCTCACGAGCTCGTGAGCTTGATCTCGAGAGGACCGTGTGATACGTGAGCTGGGTAAAACGAGGTACGGAGAAGGAAAAGAGAGAACTTTGAGAAAAGGATCTGCTTAGAGAAGAGGACCCAAAGAGGCAAGGAAATACGAGACTTGCATTTTAAGGTTCTTATCATCACCTTTCTGTACATCTCCTGGTCTATTCCCACAGTAGGGTTTTGGAGACGCATTCGTGGGCCGTGCGCCCTAGGGGTGTCAAAACCAAACACAATATCCGAACCGAAACATGAACCGATCCGATCCGAACACGAAATTTTCTTATTGGATCGGGTTGGATCTCAACTTGTTTAGGTAACAATAAAAAAAATTGGGTATTGTTTGGATCTATTGAGCTTGGGTACTCAAGCCCAACC